TGCGGTGCAATAATTCTTCATTGAGAATTGCATCGGGCTGCAAATGTCGGGTGTATCCTCCTGACTTCCATCTTCAATCTTGTATCATGGCAAGATCGTGGTTTAAACACTGTTGTTTTCCAAAGAATTCTTCATTCTCATTCTTTTGGTTGTTTCTGAATTTGGAGAGCCTGTAACGTCAACAGCGTTTTTCGATTTTAGTTTTTGTAATTCATGTTTAATCCTTTCTTCTGTGACTGGTCAGATATACGCTTTATCAGTGCAATTGCACAATATTCCAGGGAACGAAAATAACAGTTATTTTTTACCAGTTAAACTTGGCCTAATATTTTTTATTCCGAAATAAAAGNCCTATTTGTATTTTTTTATCATTTAATACTAAAGATATTCATATACCAGACCCAAGGTTTGTTCTATGGTAATTAATTAACATTTTTTGTTGAATTTTTTTTTTCAATGGGTTGCTTTGCTCGTTTAGACATTTCCTTCATTTGGTACCAAACTTGTTTAATTTGGATAAGCGGTTTGTTTATTATCCGGAAAAGACTTTTTAATTGGGAATAAAAAATATTTGACCAAGTTTAACTGGTAAAAAAACTGTTATTTTCGGTTCCTTCAATATTCGCATTCGCAAAAGATCCGCATTGATTATTGCGAATGCGAAAGCGAATGCGAATGTTAAAACTAATGCGGAAGCTCCGCGGTTGCGAATGCGAATGCGAATATTCGCAACAACCCTGATGCATACATACATATATATTTATCTTCATTCTTAAAGCTTAGCTAGCGGCACTCAATATGTAGGTAAGTAGGCGCCTGCCGAGATATTTATCTTGTCGCTTGCCACAAGCCAAGTAGAATAATTTCTAGCACGATAGCTTTGTCGGAAATTACAAATTAAATTGCTAAATTTAATATTTAAGGATACGATCTGGCCACACAATTTCATTTTCCGTCTTAATAAAAATTTGATTCAAAATGTTATTTTAGAGTTTGAGGTGATTTTATGAGAAATTTTAATTAAAAAGAAATAGCTTGTAGTGACCAACAATATTTCTGGCTCTCTGGTGGCTTAAAATTAATTTGACAACAACATTTTTTCCATACAGCTAACAAATTTTATGCAGCCAAGCATCACAAAAATATTTTTGCTGCCAAGTGTCCATGAATTTCTTATGAAAAATATTATTTTCACTCTGTGCTATGTCAAAAGGTCCTATCATAAATTTCGTATGACATATTCAGGTTAGGCTATGAATGTCGTAAGAAAAAAACAAAAAAAAAAAAAANTAAAAGGTCCTATCATAAATTTCGTATGACATATTCAGGTTAGGCTATGAATTTCGTAAGAAAAAAACAAAAAAAAAAAAAGAAATGCGGGCAGAAGACCTTACAGCCGGACAAACATAACGAGGAATGCTATTTGACTGGCAATTTGAACGGCAATTTGGGGCAATTGGATCGTATAAAATGACAAATTGCCGCACAAAAAAAAAGAACACCGATACACTCCAAACATCGATTGCAATTATATATTTTTATTTGAATTGTGGTTGTGTGTTAGAATAAGAAACCNAGAACACCGGTACACTCCAAACATCGATTTCAATTATATATTTTTATTTGAATTGTGGTTGTGTGTTAGAATAAGAAACCAAAGCGAAAATTGGTTTTGCCAGTTTTCATGAGAAGTGATAGTAAATATTGCCATTGAAAAGAGGATAAATATTTCTCGTACGAAAATTACCATATGCCAATGTTAGTTATAAGGAATTCGAAAAGAAAAGATACCCCGGACATATGTACGTATGTATGTATTAAATCTGGTAAAACTTAAAAGGACTTCAGCGTAAATTGNTACCCCGGACATATGTACTTATGTATGTATTAAATCTGGTAAAACTTAAAAGGACTTCAGCGTAAATTGGTTAAAATTTTTATGAAATTTAAAAGAAGCGCAGTTATTAGACATTAACTAATATTCACTGTATTTGACTGAAATGCGAAAATTGGTTAAAAAATCTAAAATTTCCGCGCAAGCTTTGAGGTTAGCGTATATGTATGGTCCGCTTTCAATTGAGATTGCTTCTTTTATAATGCTTTTCTGTTGTATTTATGTCATTATTAAGAGAGGAAAAACACTCTTCCATGGAAAACATGCTAGTGAATGAAATATTCAAAAGTCGAATATTGTGATCAAACATATTTGAATACTGCGAAAATGTGACATCTCAGCCATTTTAAAAAGGAACAGCCATCCTAACGGCTCAACAAAATTTAGCCCAAATGTGGTCAATTGGGCTTTATAAGAAAATCAGACTTAATATTACCCTCTGTGCAATGCACATCAGTGGAAAGAGTTGGCTAAACTATGAAAGCTTTATTTGAAGTATTAGGTCTTAAAATTGAAAATAGCAGGTCCAATATATTGCACATATTTTTTAAGTCGTTACATTTTCTTAAAACTCACTATCTGAAACGCTACAAAGTTGCTGATTACGATTCAACATCGACACTATTAAAAAGTTTTTAGCGGACTTGTTGAACCTTCATAAGGTCCCATATGACTGATTTTTTTAGATCACTTAATATGAGTAATTTTTTTCGCGTATTATGTATAAACATATATATATATATAGTATATGGACATAGTTTGGTAGATTTTGTTTTTCGAATAGGTGGCAACCCTAATCAAAAATATTTTCAGACTAAAGTTATTTTAAAACTCTTTTGGTTGACACTCATATACTTGTTTTAGTATTTCATTTAGCATGTGTATATCTTAAATAGTTTCGACTTTTCAAAGAGGTGGCAACCCTTTTTTATAATATTTTCAAACTAAACTCTTTTTTATCCTCTTTCGTCTGAATTTATGATACCTATTTTAATTAACTGATGCATTTAATTGAATTTGATTTTGTAAACACGTGGAAACTCCCCTACAAATATGTTAAGAAATAAATATCATTTCGATTGATACTCATCTTTTAACAATTCGCTTAATTTATTAAATTTAACTTTTTTAACCGGAGGCAAGCCTCTTCAAATACCTCAAAAAAATTCTGAATGTTAATACTAGACACCCACATTTTAATATTACTTATGAAATTTTGGAAAGTTTCCACCTCTTTTCCAAAAAAAAGTATAACTTGTACATCTATAAATATTAATGTTTTTAAGAAATGTATATGTCTGAATATTTTTAACGTATTTTTCTTTTGAAAATTGTAAATTTGAAAACTCACTTTTGAAATTTGTGCGAACGGATTTGATGACCTGAACAAAAAATTCCTTCACGTATTAAATACATAGATATGCACTTTTAATGAGCCGACTTATATGGAATCCAAATTTTTCTTTATTCTTTTAGCCAATTGAGTAAACAATTTTTATAATTTTTCTCATAATTTTAGAATGTGTATAAAATTATTTCAAAAAGGCAAATTTTTCTCGCTAACCCCATTAAAAAACACTCGCATTCCCTTAAAAAATCCCATTTGTTTCAGTTAAATCGACTTATATACATATTTTATAGCTCACTCCAGTTAAACATTCAAGGTTGTAATAATTCGCACTAAATTGAAAATTGGTAAGAATTTTGCGAACACTATTAGAAATCAAATGTCAAAGGTCTCCATTGATCCCACATGTGAAAAAAGTTATTCATGGTCGGATTTTTTCTTTTCACTGTTCAGCCAAACGGTAAGATTACTAATTAAAATAGGTTAGACTAAAGTGTAGAACATGCAATTGTTTATACAAAACTGGCATAACAATTTTGTTTCTAAGAATTACCATTTATGTTTAATTAACTTTTCGAAATTAGTCAAGGCGTTTCGACGTTATGGAAAAATAGTGGAAATTAAAAATTTTGGGAATTTCTATTTCTACATTTTTGCTCACTGGATAAAGGACCGAAAATGTTTGAAAAAAATGTGTATTCTAATGCCATCTGTTGTACTGTTGTTGCAGTTTTAAAAATAAATAAAAAAACTCTATCAATAATGCGTCTGATGCCACAATGTCGCATAATGTTTAATTAAATAAATCTTTGCATATTTTTTTTTAATTTAATGCTCTTTGTAGAAATAATAACTATCTAATACAGAACTAAAACTAAAAATATACTACAAAAATATTTTTGCCATCAAATGTTTAAAGTCCATTGCTCTTTAATCGAGTTTTAGTAGTCTAAACCCTACACTCAGTACAAGAGTTCTCAAAGTAGGGACAATAGGAAAAGATTTAAATGCATAAATAAAAAAGCGTGAAAGAATTTGTAAGTGTCATTAATAGTTTAAACAACACATAAATTCAATTTACTCGAATTTTTTGCGGATTATAAATAAACTCGGCAACTGAATATTGAGCTTCTTCCAGCATTACGAACTTACCTACTAAAAGAAAAACTTTTAATATTCTCCTTTACCGAGTGATCAACTTCTTTAGGAGTACACAGAATTTAATATACAATGCTTTGTCAGTTTCTATTATACCGTTGTTTTTTACATTTGGACTTTGCCAAACTTTCTAAATATTTGTCAACAGCGCTTCATACTGTTTCATAGAGTTTTTCTTATTTTTACCATCTAAATCAAATACATACATTTGTATGTAGGCAGGTATTACTTCAAAGGCTAAAAATTTTTGTACTTATTGAGCACGAGTATGCAAGGCCTTAAATACAAATGGGGTGGAGAGAAACTTTGTAAACTTTTTTCAAAGTTTTAGTGAAAAACTGTAAGGCGCGAGATTTTGGCGGCGATTCTTCTAAATGCATACCTACATATGTACGTATAATATTTTCCGCTTTGCCCATACAAAAAGCGACAAAACGCGCGCCAACTGTTTTCCTTTTATTTTGTACTTTATTATTACCACTGAACTTTGCAATACCCATTGCTTTCACTTTTTTTGTAAAGCTTAACAAATGTTTCACTTCCATATCAATAAATACTAAGCTCTCTTAAGAACTAAATTTTTTTGTCAACATGTTGCAGATGCCGCATACGTGACTTACTGCGCCAAAATTGCCAACTACCCGGCGGCATCGATACTTTGCGGCTGCCACGACGCCTACAGCGCTATATCGACCTTATGGAAGAGCTCGAAGGGCCACAGAAAGAGAACGATGCCGAAAATAATGCAGCGTTAGAAAAGCTACAAGCCTATTGTGGTGGCGTCAATGGTGCCAAGAAGCGTGTACATTTTGCTGTGTCCAAGGATGAGGAGCAGTCTTCAGTGGATATAGAAGTGGGCGTTGAAGTGGACGAGAGTCTATTGGTGGATGGCGGCGAACCGCCAAACGAACAGCAATCAATAATAGTGGTAGGCGATTTGGCAACAGTGTTTGAAGAAGATTCAGCGGAAGTTGTGGAAGAGCAGTTAGAGACGGAAAATCGAAACGGTTTGGTAGCTGTGTTGGAGAGGCCCGTAGTGGTAGACATTATCAGTTCAACGCAGGTGCAGCTGAATGCCACAGATAGTGCCAGTTGCAGCAGTGACAGCAACGACAGCAACGACGATGACGGCGTGACGATGCAGTGCAGTAGCGGCGCCAACAACACCAACGCCGACGCAAATACCTATAGCAACAGCAACAGCAACAGCGAAAACTGTGATATTGAAGTCAAGGTCAGCGAATGCATTGAACGCCAGCTTAGCTAGCCAACATTCTCAAAACAAATATAAAAAGTATGTGTGTAAGTATGAAATGCAGTGAACTACATAAACTGCCAAATATATATATACACTATATGCATGTAACTAACTGCATAAGCTGTAACGCTATACATACATATGTATGCAGTAACAGATAAACACTAATACATACTTACCTACAAAATTGGCAACATTTTGTCTAGCTCGGTAGCTTAGTAGTGAATAGCTCGTTGGTTTGCAGTTTGCTAACCAAACTTTTGTATGTAAACGAAAGATTAGCTTTGCCTATATACCATACACCTACATATGTGTACACATGTGCTTATGTAGTTTAAAAATTGATGAACAACAGCTGTTCATAAACAAAATTGAGTAAAAAATGGCGAACAACTTTTTAACTTAATATGTACATATAACGAATTTTCAGTTGCAAGTTGTGTTCAACACAATAATCTACAAACAAGTCAACAACCAGGCGAATAAAATAGATCTCCATGGACTAGTGGCTGCAAACCTTTGGCATTTTCCAAAGACTTATCTTTCTACATCAGTTTGCTGCTCGTTGCAGCTCAACAACTAAATAAGTAAATAGCCAGCATTGTGTGTAATTGTATTATTCTCGTTTCGCTTGAAATAGGTTTATCTATTAAGTATGTATGTAAGTAAGTAAGCTTAAAAGTAGTATGTATGTAATGCATGGATTACATTTTAGATTAAATGAAAAAATAAGAAAATCACTGTGTGTCACTCACCGATAAGTTTCCTCGCTGACATTAATGCAGCCTGGCACTCCTGTGGTCTCCGTGCGACTTGTCAGATTCACCGTATTGCCAAAGAGACAGTAGCGTGGCACGCGATTACCGATAACGCCGGTCACCACTTCGCCCGAGTGTATGCCAATTGTCACTTGCTGCGGAAATGATAATGGAAAAAGTAAAAAAGCGAACAGATTAAAAATGCTGTCACGCGAATTTACTAATATTCGAATTGAAAATGATTTTTCTTATCATGAGCGAGAATTTAGATTACATAAATATATGTATGTATATAATATAAGAAAATAATAAATTTGAATTAAGATGTTAATTTTTGTTTCCACTAGTAAATGAGAACATGGAGTGTAAGATTTTTCATTTATAAAATGTACATGTACATTAGACTGCATCATCCAAAAAAAGTTGCGGTTTTTCCGCCGGGGCTAAATATTTTATTACATTTGAAGACGTGCACCAAAATTTTTCCGCAATATGTTAAGATTTACGTGAGCTGGACCAATTAGAAAATACCTAAAAAAGTGAAGTTTTTTTATGANTTTTTTTATGAATAAAAATAGTTTCTTAAAGAACTTTTTGAAAAAAGTCCCCTCAGATGACAAAACAGATGAATCTTGAAAAATCTGCATAAATATATTTCAACATCTTTTCAAGGGACGCGTTATTATGAGATATTTGATGCTGTTTTTTTTTAATTTTGCAAAGATTGATTTACGAAAACTTTAATAACTGGGCCAAAACTATTCCGAATTAGACTTGTGGGGTATCAGTAAAAAGGTATTGTCTCCAAACCAAATTTGACAAGGGATGACGGAAATTCGTTCCATAATACATCATACACCCACCCTGTCGGAAACAACAGCAACCAAAAAGGAAGGTATTTTTCCATTTGTTTTTTATATCTGTGCAAAACAAACTCATTCAGGTCCCAATTTTTTTCAAATACCGACAAATTTTAATTCAATTTGGACTGACACTCGTTCATCCTACCGTTCTTTTTCATCCTTTGAATGAGTTCATTAGCAAAGATATAAAAAGGGTGAGAAAATATTTTTCCAGTGATACCTCACAGGTCTAAATCGGAACAGTTCAGGTTCAATTATTTAAGTTTTTCTTATACCAATCTTTGAAACAAATTAAGAAATAACATCAAAAATCTCTATTACGAATCCGTTAAAAATTTTTTAACATTTTTTTTTAATATTTCTATGCAAATTGTTTAAGTTTAAACCGTTTTGTCATTTGATAGGTTTTTTTTCAAAAACATCTTTAAGAAACTCTTTTTATTCATAAAAAAACTCCAATTTTGGAGGTATTTTCAAATCGGTCCAGCTCACGTAAAGCTTAATATTTTTCCGAAATATTTTGGAAGAAGTCTTAAAATATAATAGATTTTATAATTCCAAAGGAAATACAGTACCTCTTTTTTTTGTATTGGGAGTGATGCAGTCTAATGTACATACATACATACAAAGATCCAGTAAAAGTAATAAAGACTTTAAAAAAATTTAAAGGTTCATAAAATCTGTACAAATCATTCCCTTATTTCCTTACACGCCTATAAAAAGTCTCCCGGGAACTTGCTATTTGCTAAGGACGGTTGGTAGATATCGCCCTACTCACACGAGGAAAATGGATATAGAAAGCTTATATTCGCAAAGATGTCGCAGTAGGGGCCTTCCATGCCAATCATCGTTCCTGAAGCAATAGCCAAATCTCAAAA